TTTACTATTAAGATCTAAAAGTGTAAGATTTGACGAGTATAGATCTCAATGAAAAATAAACCGATGACATTTATCAATCATAGATTTATATAAGATGTTTGATAAAAATATTATAAAATATTTTAATAGGTTTTTATGAGATTATTCACATAAATTTATTGTTTTATAATTTTACTCTGTAATATTTTAATTGTTATAAGATTTTATCATATAGTTAATATAAATTCATAATGTGTAAGAATATTTGTTTTTGTTATTAAGAATATGATTTGAATTCCATTTATATATATATTTTGGCTTGCATAATATGAATTAGGACATGAGAATTAAGATATTAATTAAATTTTAATGGTTTGAGATCCGTGTTTATATATTTCAAAATATTTTGAGAAATTTTGAAAAATGTCACTTTTGAAGTGCCACTTTTCAAAAATGTCATATTTTAAAAATATTTGCTAAAATACCATTTTTTCAAAATTATTTATTCATTATATTATTTATGTTTGGGTTAACTTTGTTGTATTAGAGTTTAGTTTTGAGGGTTTTGGGTTTGCAAGAGGTCAAAACAATTGTTAGGGTTTAGAATTTTAAGATTTTAGGTTTTAAAAATCCATAATTAGTGGCATTTTTGCAAATGGACGATCCATTGTGGCATTTTTGAAAAGGGGGACACCAAAAGTGGCTTTTTGCAATTATTCCAAATATTCTTGTAATTAAACGGATTACGAATTAAAACTTAAATTTTGATATTAATATTTTTTTAATGTGTTTATCTGCGTATTAAAGCGGGTCTTATTCTAGTATTATAGAATAATGTTACAAAAATTTTGGTTTTATATTTAAGTTAGTATCATTTTAATTAGTCTTTCTATTTATAAATTTGTAACAAATGTTAATTATTTATAATTATATAAAGTTTAATTTATGCTTAATAATACATATTGCAACTTATACATCATAAAAGTCACCAGTCAGCTGTACTGATTAAAATGCTAATTCGTATTTCTACAGCAAACTCACTACATATTTTTTCAGTTTCTACCACATATTTTTTTACTGCAAGTTACATCAAATGATAACGTCTATTGCAACTCGACTTTGATACTAAATGCTACGAGTCGGATCCTAAGCCATTGGTCTCTAATAAGCAGTGTACATATTTGTTCGAA